TAGGCCTCCATGTAGGACACAGCTGTGGCCACGGCTACTCCCCACATGGTTGAAAAGCTGGCTGACCATTGGGAGAGAAGTGGAGCTGAGCTCGCTCCCAGCCTCAGCGCCCCCTCCCCGCCCCCCCACAGTGAGACCTGTGAGTGGTGGGCTGCCGTTGATGATCCAGAATAAGCCAGATAATACTATTTGGCTCTCAATCCCATCAGCACTCTTTATGTGTGCAACTCTGAGTTTATTTACTTTGATTCTTTGAAACTACATTTCCTCATTTAGAAGATGGTAATATTATTTAATTATGGGTTTCTAGGAGACTTAAGAGTGGAGTTTGTATAAAGCGTGAGATCTAATCTAGTATGTGCCAATAAAAGTTATCTTCCTCTCTGGGCTTTCCCTACTAGGAAGCTCAGAGGCAAATTGGAATTTGAAAGTTACCAGCTTGAATCATTAGATTACTTTTTTTTTTTAACATAATAAATTCCATTTTAATACAACCTATCTTTTGACCTTCTTGCCTTCATTTATGTTTTCCCGATCCTGATTATTTCTCTAACAGCTGTCTTGTTTTAGGTACTTTGACAGGCTATTTCCCCAAATTCTTTGCAGAAATAGGCAGAGAGCACCTAACTGATATCAGGAGAGATGGATCCTCACTATGACTGTGCAAATGCCTGTATGATGTCGGGCATAGAGTCTCTCTGAACCTCAGTTTTCTCATCTGTAGAATGAGGGTAATAACAAACATGCTAGCTAACTCTTGTACAAGAATAGGATCTATCACTCCTTTGCAAAAGTACTTTCATAAACTATGAAAAACTTGTAAAAGAAAATGTTTATTCTTTGTAAAATGATGCCCCATTTTACTTATTTTTGCAATAATCCCCTTCTCCAAACTGTGCCTGAGACTCATGGCACAGGGACAGGCATATATTAAATGCTGAAAAATGGCCAATGAGTCTCACCTCCAAGGCCTCAGCCATGCCCGTTTCCTTACTCAGCAGAGAGTTAGAAGGCCCAGTGCCCGACCCTTTTTTGACCTGGACTGTCTTCACCCATCAGAGATGGAACCACTCCACAGAATGAAACCATAAAAACAAAGACAGAGTTAACTAATGATACCCAATAAGTTAGTGAGTCTGTCAAATGCCATATGGGAAAGGCAGGCAACCAAAGTCTCTATCATAGGAATTCAACAGGGATTTGTTTTGAAGCATTCTGATTTGGCCTGAAAATGGAGAAGGAGATGACAACACCATGAATAAAAGATATAAAGATGAAGATTTAAGCAGGGATCTAAGAAGAAAGCCCCAGAAAAACAACCCAGGAAACAACCCCAGTGAGTGAAAGATCTCAGAAAAATAAAAAACAACCAGGCACACAGGGCAATAAGATCAAAAATCAGATTACTTGATTAAAGCCAGCATTTCTTTAAATGGAAAATAATGCACATTGTTTGTCCTTAAAATATGACATGCTCTCCTTTTTTCAAGAATGTCAAAGCATGGCCCATACCAGACAAAGCCCCATCACCCAAGCCACCCGAATTTGGGGGGCCTGAGTGAATGGGTGTTGCAGACCTTAGCACAGCAGTGACTTGGGCTAGAAAACCCCAGAAAATAAACCTCTGCATGGAAAAGCAGAGTGTGAATTAGGTCAGGGCCCACCTGTTCAATAATGAAATAATTGCTCGGGGCACATTCATCTGTAATCTTTTCCGATGTGACATCTATTCTTGTGCTCTGCTTTCCTCAGTGCTCCTCAACATTTGCAAATAATCCTAGGGCCTCCTAAAGACACTCCGCAGAAGCAGACAGTCACTTCCCTAATGCCTCAAAAATAGATTCAATTTTATATACAGCAGGGTGATTTCAGAAGCAATTTCAATATCTCCAGTGTAAGCATTACTTATATATTTTTTTTCTCCCTCAAATCTCATTCCGGTGGTTCCACAAGGTGCTTGGAAAGGTACCGGATGCATTCCAGGGCACTCAGAAGAACCCCGGAGCATGTTTGTGGCTGTAGTCTGAGGACAGCAGATGCATAGATTAAAATCCTAACATGCTGATTGATTCAAACAAATGCAACATTTCTTGATAATTGAGTATAGTGTCAATTGAAATTTGTTTTTCCTGTCTTTTTAAAAAGCAGTCTCATTAAAATGAATGTATTAATATATACATATATGTCTCTGTGTGAGTATATAGAAAACACACATATTAGTCATCTGGAAATAGTGTCTCTGGACTTTAAAATATCTGATTAGATTCTGCACAGTATGCTGCCTGTTCCTCTCTGGCTGGCTAATCCACCTCGGTCTTAAGTGCTTTCTTCTTAAGAGTCTAAGTTTTGGCCCATGAGGAAGAGGGTGATGATGTTTCCCCTTAAATCTAAGCAATCGGTGTTACCCAAGTTTTTATTTCAGGTCAGAAAGTTTAAGGTCACATACCTACAACTTTGAGGTCACAATGATTGTTATGTGTCTTCAACCATATATATATTTTTGTTATTCAGAGTTCGCCAAGGACATTCTTGTAAGTGCAAAAAAAGTGTGCACAAGACACTGGCCTGTACAGGAAAGGTTTTGGGCAAATGGGTAGTGGTCAGTATGTGTCATCAGCTAGACTTGCCCCTGGGTCAAAAGCAGAAAAGCCAGTTATAAATTAATACAGCCAGTGCCTGGGGGGATCAGTAAGGACACACCAAGCCCATTTCCTTGCTCATCCCTTCTTTCTCTCTCCTGGCCCATGCCAACATCCCCTTTTCCCAGACCCCAGGGAACATGTGAGTCCCAGCAATTCATCTTGGCTGAGAATGGAAAAGGACTGGCTTCATGGTTTGGCAGACCAGAAACATGTTCTGCACTCTGAGAAAAATGAAAGCTAAGTATTTGTTCATGAAATAATCACTATGTGTTATTAGACTTTGTCTTCAAAGCCAATACTCAACTATAAGAAGTGCTCAGACTGAGCTATATCAATAATGGGCAGAGTGACAGCATGTGTCTATTGATAGAAGGCAAGGAGATACGCACGAAGTCACCTATATTGAATTTTTGCCAACATGTTTAACCTGAATGTAATCATGATGAAAATATCAGATAAATCATGATGAAAAAATCAGATAAATCTTAATTGGTGAATACTCTATGGGACAACTGGTCTACCCTCTAAAAAAGTCAGCATCCTAAAAGATAAAATATAGATGGGAGGGCTATTCTAGATGACAGGGGCTGAAGAGACATGATGACTAATCTAATGTGATCACTTTTATTGCATTAAAATAATAATAATGCTGATAATAATAATAATAAATTTTAGGGCCATTGAGGAAATTCAACTATGGGCTGGTATATTAGGTATTGAAATAAGGTTATATTTCTTGGGTTGGTTAGTTCCTTGTGGTTATTTTGAAGAGCTATTCTAATTCTTAGAAAACACACACTGAATTCTCTGGAGGTAGAGTGTCATGATATCTTCAACTTATTTCTAAATGGTTCAGAAAAAAACATATATATATGGAGAGAGAGGGTGCAAATAACACAAATATGAGCAATTTGTGAGCAAGACAAAGGCTATAAGAGTATTCATATTACTGCCCCCCCAAACCTTTTTATATGTTTTTTATAAGTTTAAAAAGAAAATCTCTTTCCCAAAGCAGCACATCAATATTTGAAAAAGCCATTTCTGTCATTGAAGTTCAGTATTCTTAACCAGGGTCCCTATAGAACTCCCTGAGTGGCTTTTACAAACCCACATCCCTTCTTACTCCTCATCCCTGCCTTATCCCTCATTCCCTTTATACACCTATTCATTCAGGAGATGGGTAAGGTCTGGAGCCAAGATATGCATATTTTGAAAACTGCCTTGGATGGGTTGGTTCTGGGCTGAACAGGAGGTTAAGAACAATGGGTCTAAGTTACCCTCAGACCCTCGGTCCATCAGGTGAGACTCAAGGGTAGGTCAGCACAACACACTGAGCCTTGGAAACCTTTTCTAGAAAATGGGAACAATAACACTGGCTGTGGTGAGGAGGAAGGTGGTCAGTAAACATTTGCTTCTTTTCTTTTTTCATCTTTTCATAGATCTGAATCATCCCAAACTGATCACATCCAAAGTGATTTTTAAAAAGTATGGTTTCTTCTATTTGTCATTGATACAGCATATGGAGGTCATCTGTCCATACTCACATTCCTTTGGATTTCCTGCATTCCACTAAACTCATAAAAAACAAAACAAAACAAACAAACAAAAACCCAAAACAAAACTGGCTGACAGAAAGATCTGAACAAAAGTCAGTTCTCTCGAGTCTGATCACCAAGGTGACTTTAGATCACAAGTCTGGCGGATGCTCTTTGGAGGAGGGCCAACCTTGAAATCTCAGCCATTTCTGTTGGCTCATGGTCCAGTATTAACTCTGCATGAGGACTCAGGTGCTCCTGACTAAATTCCACTTAGAACACTGGCTGGAGCTTGGAACTAACTGGCCAACGTTTGGAAGGCATAGCTTCCAGGTCTGAATATACTACTCATCAGCGCTGGGACTTGAGAGAAGTTGCTTCTCTAAGCCTCAGTTTCCTAAGCATCCAAAACAGATACAGTATAATCCATGACTCATCTACCTTACATGGTTTATATCAAATGTTTTAAAAACTATAAGACACTCAATTTAATATGGCACGTTTTTCTCCGTAAGTGCATAACGATGTCTTGCTCCTCCTTTTTTATTTTTATTGAACTATTATTAGTTTTAACCTGTCTTTATTTATGCTACAGGCAGTTAAAATGGTTGCCCCCATTTTAAGGCAATTCTTAAATTCTCCTTTTCACTCCAGGAGGGGTGGTCCCAACTTTTTCCCTGGAGAACTTTCATCCTGGGCCGTCCCAGGGAGGCACCCTAACCCAATGCCCTACAGCACCTGCCCACTCTGAGGGGTCCACAGCAGAGGTACCAGGGTTAAGCGAGACCACAAATATCCCTTCCCTTGAGTGGGCTCAACTTACTGAATCCGTTCACATCCTGAGAGCTGGAGGAGAAGCCTTCATCATTGCGGCTGGTGCTGAGTTTGGTGGTGGGTTTGTCGGTCGAGGCCACAGGCCCCATCTCCCTCTGGGCTCCGCTCTGTGTCTCCTTCTGCTTCTTGGCCAGCTTCCTTTGGGACATGTGCAAGGGAAAAAATCACAGTCAGATGGTGCCAGTTGCATTGAGAAGTCTAGATGGCTCTCCTTCCCCACCCGTTATCCTTAACTCCAAACCTGGTTCAGTCTCCAGCAACAAAGTCAAGGTGGGATAAACCTCTGGTAGGTGGGAGAGGTGGCATCTCTCCCTTCAGTGTCAAGGTGGGATAAACCTAAATTCTTCTAACACCATTAGTGACTTCTATTTATTTAGAAATATGATATGCATCCTGCCTCATCCCCAACTAGGGTGTGTTCTTGGAACAGGAATGAGCCTAGAACAGGAATTTGGTGAAACTAGCAAGATGCTTCCCCTACTCTCCTGTCAGAGGCATGAGAGGCCAGATTGATCTTTCTGTTCCCATGGCTCTCAATGAGATTTGAATGGAGTCTGACCTTTCTCAGGAATTGAGCTCATGAAATAACTAAGAAAACAATGGTAGATTGAAGTAGGGGTTGGTGGTTGGCAGTGGGTGAGGGTGGAGTTTAGGTAGTCTTGTAGTTCAAAAGGAGAAAAGTTAAAGCAACACTTGATGTATAGCTTTTTACCTAGGCATAACAGACTCTCAGAACCAGATGGGCATTTATGATAAAACTAGTTTAGAGCAGTGCTTTCAAACTCTGGTATAAACTGGAATCATTTGGAGAGCTGAACACACACACAGGCCCAAGCTCATGGAGGTAGGACAGTGCCTGGACCAAGTTCTCCAAGTTATTCTGCCAATGCCCATTGAAGGTTAAAGCCATTAGTTTTAGCATCAGGCAGACATGGGTTCATACCCTGCCTCTAGCACCTGGCAGCTCACGACCCAGGGCAAGTTCCTTAACCTCTATGCCAGTAAACTCTTCCTCGGTGTACTGTGGCAAATAATAGGACAAGCCTCAGAGAATTTACCGAGACAATGTGTGAAACACATATTGCATAGTGAACATCCAACACAGCTGCTATGCTTGTTTTAACATCATCGCCACTGGACCAACTACATTCCAATGTTTGAATCCCCCTCCAACAGCCCCACTGTGAAATCCCCAAGTGATATCAAATGATGAAGACTTTGACACCTCAATAAAATGCTAAAGGGTTAAAAGTGGTTCTCTACATGGATTTGAAATCTATTTCCCTTAAGTTCTAACTGATTTGTCTTAGATCTATCATCAGAGATGTAAAAATATGACTAAGCCCTCTTGCATACGACAACTCTTTAAATGTGTCTGAAAGGCAGCATGGTCCCTCTGGGTTTTTCCAACATTTATGACACTAAATTATGAAGTTATTATGTTCCTTCCTATGATATGAAAGGCTATAGGTAAAATCTCAAGAGTAAATTCTCCCACTTGTCTTCCTTCATTTTTCACAGAACTTGGTTTCAAATTCAATCTTGGTCACTCTTATCTCAATGATAAAAGAACAGATTTCCCAGAGAAGTCAAATTCAGTGCCATATAAGAAATAATTCTTCAAAGTTGAGCCCTCCTGATTATGAAATAGGCAGTTTCAAGAGGTAATGAGCTCCCTGTCAGAAGAGGTATTAAATGAAAAGATAAACCTGGACTTTAGAGCAGTTCAGCTAGGATCAATTCTAGTTGGGCACTATGCTAGCATCCTCCTTTGCACGGGCCCCTTGACCTAGGTGTAGATCACATAGAAGAATGACCAATGGTACAGTTAAGTGAGCGTAACTTGAGAAGAATTTATACATGGGTGGGGAACCTTTTATTCTGCCAAGGGCCATTTGGATATTTATAACATTATACTTGGGCCATACAAAATTGTCAACTTAAAAATTAGCCTCTAAATTTGGTCAAACTTTCATTAACTCCTCCCTAATGCCTTGGCAGGGCCATCCAAAAGATTCCTCAGGCCTTATATGTTTCATGGGCTGGATGTTCCCCATCACTGGCATAGAAGAACCACTAACAAAGGTAAGATAGGTGTGGGGGAACACAAGGTATAATATATTACTGAAGAGCTGTCTACCACTTGTGTGGCCAGAAGGAAAGGGAGGAAGCAATCAACAGACCTAAAAGGAGAGAGGCCACGTGCATAGAAGTGGCCTTCTCTTGAAGGAGCCAGCTCATCCTGAACCAGAGGCATCAATGGCCTGGCTACCTCCTCTCCTCTCCCCTGACCTCCTACAGTGGCTCTCCTTAGCTGAGCCCAATGGGAAGCCAGTGACATGGAGTCCCTATGGCTCCAGTTCTGAAAACAGAGAGCAGTGTAAGAAGCATGGAGAGTGGATCTGCTCCAGGAAATCCCCACCCAGAAGAAAAGAAGTGATTCTACCTCCCTCCTTTGGCCACAGTTTGTATACAGATGAAGTCTAAAATGGAATTCTTTAACTTTTCTTTCCACCCATTAGTCTGGGGAAAGCTGGACACTCAGGAGTAGGAATGCATCTTTTTTTACAATGCTTTGGCCCCAAGAATACTGTTCCCTTAGTGAAACTATTCCAGGAAGAGAGAAAAACAACAGGCAAGGAAGCATTGGATCAGTTTTTCTCACCATCCAGAGGCAATCAGACAGGAACCGGGGAACGCCAACAAAAGAAAAATGAGCAATTCTGCTACTGATGACATTTTGAAGCTTTATTCTTCATTTATTATCAAAAAGGAATATGTTTAAAAATGTATATGTGACCTTCTTAATCATAAATTTGAAAAGATATATATCAGATCCTTTGCCTTTACCCAAGCTTCGCTCACATCGCCCCAGGAGGAAATAAAAGGAAACTTGATAAGAAAGTAAACTTTAAAACTATAAATGAGTATGTATTGGAGTCTTTGATATTTCCTTGGGGGCAGAACTCCTAACCAATCTCATTCCATTCAGGGTAAAATAATATGGAGAGAGCTGTCTTTGGCACAAATCATTGCTTTCCAAAGGGATAATGTTAATAAAAAACAGCCTTGCTGCTTCTATGAAAAATGGCATTTTGCAGAAATGTTTGGGCAGCTCTGAGCACCTGGATAAATATATGAAACACTGAGCCTCTCTATAACACGTATTTAAAAATTGGACAACTAACTGAGTTGTAAAAACTGACATACAACATCCCTAGGACTTAGTAGTTCATAGTTGATGCTACTATTCATGATGATGATGATGCTCTATGATAATTTAAAAAGGTATATACAGGTGTGTTGGCAACAGGTACACATGCTACAAAGTGGAAATAGAGGGACTACAGAAGGAAATAAAACATAAAAATCACAGTTTGGGGATTTTACTTTATCAAATTTTAAGTTTTAAAATCCTCTTGGTAATAAAGGAAAAATTATATCATTTCCTATTGCCATAGAGTTTAATTGATCCCCCTCTCTTTTAAGAGAAGGGAAAATCCAAACCAGTGAGAAAGCCCTATGAGACCCTCAGACTGTAGCGCCAAGCATCAATTCAGCCTTCTCTCTCACACCTGTCTCCTTTTTAGGAAACACCAATTACTCACCTCCCTTCTGCACCCATTCCTCAATACTCCATTTGCTAAACATGTCCCCATTCTCCTCCACTGGCCACCACTTCTTCATCCCACAAGGCCCAGTGGCATTCCAGGATCATATCTTGTTGAGATTTCCCCTAAACATATTTGCTCTTTTCTGCACTTGGTTGACTCAGCCATTCAACTAGTATTTATTGAGCACCTACATGTGCCAATCTCTACTAGATGGAAGAAGGTCACAATGACAATCACTACACAATATCTGACCTTCATAGAATAGAGATGAATGGCAAAGACAGGCACTAAACAGATAATATAGAACAAAAGAAAATCACAAAGATGTTAAAAAGCCAAGGGGGAGAAACCCATGAAGCCCGAGAAACTTAAGTGCTGGTTTGCGTCCTAGCAGGAGACCACACAAGGCCTTGTTGCCATGTCAGTCTAAGCACTCGACTACTCTACACACAGTGATTCAACTCTCCCACCTACCAGGGCAAGAACCTCTTGAATGAAGGGTTTTTGACTTATTGCACCTACTCTAGTTTTTTGCTGAGTGGCTGTACTGTAACTGGTGCTCAACAAATTTGCTGTACAAATTTGTACTTAAAACCCTACAATCTGAAGTGTAGAAAGATTGTCATCCTACTCTGACTGCAAATTATAACCACTTAGGAAAATATACATAGAAGAAAAAAGGAAGAAAAACCTGCAAGAAATTATTTTGTGACCTGGAACATTGATACTTATGAATATTTTTGGCTAATAACTTAACATTTCCTTCCTGTGGTTGTCAACAGAACTCTGGGGATGCTCGAGGAATCAATGGAATGTTCACAAAAGTTAGAGATTTCCCCTTCCTCAGAGCCTGCAGAAGAGCCACAGCTATAGATGTAAAACAAAAAGCAAAAAACAAGAACCTCATAAGATAGTCATGGGAATTGGTCCTATAATTTATGGAATCCTCATATCCTTCAAGTCACACTTATTTGTGACTTCACAGACTTGGAATTTTCTTTTTCTCCTTGTTCTGAAATTCTTGCCAAGTGGATCACACAATCTCACCAGCAGGGGGTACCAAAAGCTGGTAGAAAGAGAGAGCAGAAGCTTACTTATTCCTCTGCAGGTGCAATTCTAGAGCTGGGGAATGTTTTAAGGCACCGTAATCTGAAGTTTACTGCTTCTGACAGGTGGGGACAGTGTGACATGGCTGCAGCTCTTGACATTTTTTGTTCTAACAGATCACTGCCGGGTCTTTCTGACCTTTGCTTGTTAGCTGAGGGAGGGCAGGTGGCAGGGCTGTGCCTGAGCTGGCCCGTGAGTCCTGTGGTTTATTCTGAGCACCACTCGCTCTAAGGGAGAGCGGCAGGTGGGATGGCTCAGGGAGGGGCCTCAGGGCTGTGAAGTCATGCTAAGAGAGGAGCAGTGGCTGAAACAGACATGTTTTTCATGGAGAGAGAATATTCAGGAAGGTTCTTTTCACACATCCGACTTCTGGCTCCCTGTGGCCCCAGGGGGCAGAATTAGAATCACATTGGCTTG